AAATAAAGGAGCAGAAAGATTTGTCACCAGGCTGTTAAGAGGTAGATTGTATTGAGCCCATGTCTAACCATACAACTCATAACTTTTCATTATCACCATATTGCCTCTAAGAAATATATATATATACAATATATAATCTTTAGAAAATATCTCTTCTTTAATGTGAATGTCTTCTTGCAGTGAACAGTGCTGTCGAATTTGCACACCTAGGGGTGTTCTACCACCAGGGCCAGTGTTGTATAGCCGCATCCAGGCTTTTTGTGGAAGAATCAATCTACGATGAGTTTGTTCGAAGGAGTGTAGAGCGGGCTAAGAAGTACGTTCTTGGAAATCCTATGACTCCAGGAATAAATCAAGGCCCTCAAGTGAGTATACGATAGAAGGGATAACATTTTCAGGGAACAAGAATAAACTATTCTCTTCAGATGTAGATTTTATTAAGGTTATTTCCCATCTGCATGTCTTCCTAGATAAAAATACTGTGCTAGTTTGGTGATTAAAAAAAAAGTCAGTTCCCAATTATAAAGAAATCATTTTGTTTTTGTGTTGCCCAGTTTTCCTGCCTAGAAGCAGTTTAAGGATCATGCTGGAAATTAAAGACATGAGGGAAATTAAAAAACGCTGTAAAGCTCTTGCTTTCCTCCATCTGCACACCTCTTGATTCCTTTATATCATTCTCTGTCTACTTCAAAGTTCTTATACTTTCCTATCAATCCTGCATCTTAGCTGCCATTCCATAGAGATGTACACCCCTAAATCCTTTGCAAAGTGCAGTTACTCTGACCCTCTAATGGTAGCATGAGTGTCCCCAAAAGTTTCTGAGTTTCCAGGTTTGTGGCAAACTTTTCATTTTAGTTTTTAAAGTTCAATTATTCCCCTAGGGCTCCAGGTTTTCTTTGAACCATTATCAATAAAAGTGTCTCTCTTAGCAAAGGTCACCTTTCCCTCTTCCTTACATAGTTCTCTGTTCACTGTCTGTTATTCAAGCTCCTACACCTTTGATTCCAAATTTCCTCCTGCCCTTTAGGGTCTTGATCTAAATCAGTGATTCTCAAGTAGGAGCAATTCTGCTTGCCTCACCCAGGGGACAATTGACAATGTCTGGAGACATTTTAAGTTGTCACGACTTCAGTGAAAGAGTGGTTCTACTGGCATCTAGGGAGTAGAGGCCAGAAATGCTACTAAACATCTTACAATGTACAAGAGAGCCCCCAAACAAAATTATCTGGCCCAAATGCCACTAGGACTGTTGCTGAGAAATTCTGCTCTAGAGTCTAGACATTAAGTTTAGAGGCTTTAATCTTTCATGCTAAAGCTTATACACTGTTCCTTGCTGTTGATTTGAAACCAAACACTATTCTTGACTTATTCTAAGCCAAAAATAAATTCAATGAACTAAAATTTAGTGTACACTTCTGTCAGCTAAACCCTGAGATAGGTTCCTGGCAATGCCAAAAGGAACAAGGAGGACATGATCCCTCACCTCATGGAGTGTACATTCTAAGTAAGTTAGAAGAATGTCTTGGGCTTTGCTTACCATCCCAAGACATCCAAGTAGAAGAATCTTAGGACTTAGACAATGCCAAATATTAAAACCTAAAAGCCCTGGAATACCTTCATCAGGAAATGAAGTAATTTGTTTTATATCGATCTCATTTTTTTTTGCATTTGTTTTTGACTTTAATGAATACATAAAAGTAGTTCCCAATTTTTATCACATTTGATAAATTTTCAAATGGATGCCAAGAAATATATTTAATTTCAATATGACTTGATCATCCATTCTCTAAAAGAATAGGATACTAAGTTTTCTATTGTGATTATTCCTCCCTCTAAATATCTAGGTATCTATCTGTTTAAAAGTAAAGCCCTTTGCCATTTGATTGACAGACAGCTGATAGATGATGGATGGATGGATCTGAAAAGAAAAGAAAAGAGAATATCTAAGATACTTCATACTGAACATTGGTTAGGCAAGACTTTCCTCCATTAGGGTTCTGCACAATTCAACCAAAGTCTCAAAAATTGGGCTGGAATACCTCATTATTTTTAAGAGAAAGGAGTTAAAATAGACTTTTAAAAATTCTTCTTGGCCTGGCGCAGTGACTCACGCCTGTAATCCTAGCACTCTGGGAGGCCTAGGCTGACGGATCATTTGAGCTCAAGAGTTTGAGACCAGCCTGAGCAAGAGCGAGACCCCGTCTCTACTAAAATTAGAAAGAAATTAATCGGACAACTAAAAATATATAGAAAAAATTAGCCGGGCATAATGGCACACGTCTGTAGTCCCAGCTACTCGGGAGGCTGAGGCAGAAGGATCGCTTGAGCCCAGGAGTGTGAGGTTGCTGTGAGCTAGGC